AGCACGTAGTAAGGCCAGTAACTCTGGTGTTCTTGTTAATTTAACACCCGTTCTCATAGAAATCACAGAACTAAAAGCCGCAAGATATGTTGACAATGTCGAGCCTTTTAAATGTTTGTTTTGCCGTAAGTAACACAAATAGTCTGCCACTTGAGGATGCGTGTAGCATCTCTCGCTGTAAAACCCTTGTTTGTTGCATAATTTTGAAACTTTGCCACTTGTCATCGTACAAGTTCGCGTTGAGTATCGTAAGGCAAAGCGTGACCGCTTTTGCCGCCCTGGTAGAATATCCTCTCTTGTTTAAACACATTTTAATACAGTCCATAATGAAGTTTGAATACTTCTGGGTTTCTGTGCACCTGTTTGGTGTGAGGATGTATTAACAGGTTTGGCGCGCTTGGGTAGTTCTAGTGCCGGTTGACCGATATCTTGTATTAAGGCGGGAACCACGTTCTGGCCGGCCAATAGGGCGACCAAAGTGAGTTGTAGGCTCTACGCGTTGGTTGATTTTCTGTAATACTAGAGGTATTATTGCTGGAAGGCGGAAAACGCGCATCATTGAGGCCTTCCCATGAAATGCTTAGAGCGCCTGTTGCCCATGCTTGTGGGTCTGGCACTGGTGACACGTAATGTCGGTAGTTGATTGTTGAACCTTGTGGCGAATAGATCTACTAGCGGCTCCTATTTGCTTGATTATCTGTGCAAATATCTCTGTATTGAGCATCCATTCTGTCGGGCGGACGGTAGATGTGGCGAGAGAGCGTCTGCTAGTATATTCCTGGCTCGGGAATGTGGCATGCTTTGACATGTAGATTTAGATCTTGGATTAATTGAACAGTTGAAAGGTTAAATTCAAAAGGTTCGCGATCTCGTTGAGCCTTGTCTGTTCACATAAAACGCCACTGTCGAAGTTGTCGGTATGTATCATCAGGTGCGCATTCTGTAGAATGTTGCTCCAATGTCTTATGGCGTTGATTACAGCTTTCATCTCTAATGCGTTTATGTGGAGTTTGCTTTCTAGCTGAGTCCATAACCCTGATGCCGTCGGTTGGAGAGATGAGCTCCCCAACCTTGGAGCGCACTGGCGTCTACATATAGATGGGTTTTGAATTCCTGCTCTGCTAAACAAATCCCTTCGCAGACATTCGATTTCTTTGTCCACCATAATAGATGAGGTCTGAGATGTATCGGTAGACTGAATGGTTGTAGGTCGTCGAGATGTGTATTGATCGAAGACCTGTAACGGACGTAACTGTAATCTGCCTATGACTGTCAAGTCTTGGGCTGATGTTAGAAGACCTAGTAAGCTCTGCCATTGTCGAAGTGGTAGCGGTGACAGTAGAGCTGGTGGAATGATCTGTTGGATCTTGAGCCAACGGTCTTCTGGTACGACTATACGGTTGAGATTGGTGATAAATCGGATTCCTAGGAATTGCAGATCTTGCGATGGTACTAGGTCCGACTTGTGTAAGTTTACTAACCATCCCAGCTGTGTTAGTAGCTTTATGATGTAGTTTAACTGTAGTTTGAGATGCTGTGGATCTTGATCTACTTGTATCCCGTCGTCGAGGAAGAACGCACTCGCGTAGCCCTTGACGATGTAGATAGATAACAATCGGTTTTCGTTATCCCTCGTGAATAACCATGGGGCTGATGCTATTCGAATGGGAGTACTTTCCACTGGTAATGTAATCCGTCTAGCGTAAACCGAAGGTATTTCCTGGATTCGGGATGTATTGGGATGTGCAGATAAGCATCTTGTAGATCTATACTGCCCATGTAGTCCATGGGGGCGAATCATCTGTCGTAGCTGCTGGTAAATGTAGCATAGTGAACCTGGGTGGTTTGTTTAAGTAAGTCTTGTTGAAGAAGCTCATGTTGTAAATGAGTCTGTATTTCTCCTTGGAGTTCTTCTTGGGTACTAGGAAAACTGGGGAGTAGAAACCTGGTTCGATGTTTCCTTGCTCTATTACTTCTATGGCCTGCTTGGTTAGGAGTAATGTAACCGCTCTCTTAACTTTAGTAGTTGTTGTGCCTCTACCTCGAACTTGTGAGGGTTGACTGTTAGTGGAGGCTTGGCCTGTAGTGGGATACGAAATCCGCGTTGAAGAATGTTGGAGACATAGGTGTCTTGAAGTATTCCCCAGTTTTCCCAGTGTAGTTGAAGACGTCCACCCACTTGTGACGGTTGTACTGGAACGGCTGGGGGTGGAAGACTCCAGTCGTTCCGAACCTGTCTTTCAGCGTTTATAGTTGCGGGAACCTCTGGGTGTCCTGCCTCGTCCTGACCCTCCTCTATAGTTGCCATATGGGCGCATTTAAAAGAATCTCTTCCCCTGGAACTGGCAATCTTCCTGTCTCTAGCTCTTTGTAGGCCCGTGAATTTAGATCTCCCTGAGTATCTTTGTGAAGTCTGTCGAATGACACTGGCTAGCGTGTCCATCGATTTAATCATCAGGACTTCTCTAGAATCCTTGGTGACTTCTTTGGAGACTGTGTCTATTCCTCCGTCAAATATGGATGGGGAAGACCACGGGGCTGTATATAGTGGAGCTGTAAAGTTCTCACCCCAGTTGCAGGAAGCTAGGAGGCCTTGACGACGAGCTAAGGTCAGTGCTGCTGAGACAGACGTCAGATGATCTGTTAAAAACTGCTGGTCCTTCTTTTGCATCAGTAGGGCCGAGTAAATCATTCTGTCATCTTCAGAGGTCGTGTTCCGAAATCTGGAGATAAGTGTCTCATTTATTGTTCTAGATCTATTTAGACCGAAGAACATACGCCTCGTCATGGTTTCTATCTGAACCAATTTCCGATCATCAATCTTGTAGTACTTGTTCTTGGCATCGGAGATCAGCTTATAGTTCTCATCGATGTCTTGTGCTTTGAAGAAGGGTTCCATATTATGCGTGGAGAACTTCTTGGCGCTGAAATTTGGCAGATGTGGCGTCTGAACCTTTGTGGCTTTGTTAAATGCTGTATCTAGGTTCTGAGGTACCGCCGCAATCGGGTCGATTGGGGGTAGTGTAATAGCATCTGCGTCATCTTCTTTCATCAGATAAGTCTGCGCCTTATTGCCACTCTTGGAAGGTGATGAGAGATCTAGATTATTGACCATCCAATATCTTATCTCTGCATCTGAGAAAATAATTCCTCCATCATCTTCCATTCCATCATCATAGATAAGAGGTTGTTGCTCTTCTGATGTAGGGCTGTGTGGCTCTATCTCTATATCGTTTGACGCTTGTGGAGATCTAGTTGTAGGCTTATGTGCAGACCTGTGAGGTGATCGGCGTGGTGATCGGGCGAGGTGATCGATCTTGGTGATCTATATCGATAGGTTGACCTTCTTGGCGATCTATGAGGGACTGATAGCTCGCCGAAGCTCTTGTGTAGTCCCTTGCTGATCTTTTAGATGAAGACGATCTGGGTTCAGGTGTCCGCAATGCATGAACGCCGAGAAGCTTCGATATGCGTCGGTCCTGGGGAGCGATGATATGACCTTCGCGAAGGCTTGCGTGTGGTCTGGTGATCAGATTCCATATCTGAGTAAGGCGCCCGAAGAAGGTGATGATTCTTCCGCCGGCGAGCTTAAGCCTTCGAAGGCTGTACATCTGGGTCCTTCGTCGAGGTGGTCTGTGACTTCCTTCGGCGAAGGCTGCATTGTCGTGGCTGCTACGTTGACAGATGGTGCCCTGGGGTGCTGTCTCACGTTGGAGCCGCCAGCGCTCGGACCCTGGGATGGCTGCTTCTCCAGTCTATAGTGGCCTTCCATCATAATCATGATCTGTTTCATAAGATCGTTTGGGATGATCTGCGACGTAGTAGATGGTGCCCTTTCTGCTGTGTAAGCGGTGGGGCCCTCAGCGATCTCGTCTGACATCAGTGTAGAGGCATCAGGCTGCTTGTTGATCTCTGCTGGCGTCACTGTCGCTGTCACTGGTAAACTTCTTGTGGCGTATGTCGGGTATGATGATCGGCTGGTCATCGTAGAGGCCCAATTCTGCTGCTGGAACGATCTCGTCTGAGAAAGTTCTCGATGACTTCGTAGATTTCCCTTTGGAGGAAGACGCTGCCCTGGGGGTACGAAGTCTGCGTTGAGAAGACGTTGAGGCCCTCTTGGACTTTGTCTGCGATGACTGGATGTCTGGAGAGGCCGGTCGCTTCTTAGAGGTGACGGACTGCATCCCGTCCCTCTTCCGATGGGGTCTCAAGCAGAACACCAGGACGGGAGGGGATCACTCGACAGCAGTTGACTGGATGGGCAATCCGGCGTATCGGCCATGTCTACACCTAGTTTGCGTGACCTATCTGCAACACGTCTCAAGACGCTTAAAGATGGTATTTATCAAAGGCAGAATTGGTTAAATTTATGCAGTAACTGCAGCGTGAGTCAAACGCACAAAGGCGTAGTACAACTAGGGCATACCACATGCGGATCCGCAAGAGCGGAAAAGCGTAATCTACAAATAGTACAGTTTTTCATCAATGTAAAACTAGCTGAACAATCACGAACTCACGTGAATAAACAGTAGAAATACGATTAATTATTAACGCAAATAACTGAAGGATACTAGCTATACCTTTATAGTAAACTATAAAAGGTAACTAACTAAGAAAAACCAAAGGATATAGTGTGTAAGGAGACACAGGCGCTCTCACATCCTGCTCACTGGGCGAAGAAGGAGAGAGTGAAGCATGAGGCCAGAGGGTGGCGACACCTGTTCCCGCGCTTACGGCAGGGGAGGTAACTCGTGGGTGAGTACCAATTAGTGATTTTACATTGAAGGGAGCTTCAATTAAGGAGATACAAGTGTTCCACTATGTTCGCAAGAGGAAGGGGACAAGCAAAAGAGCATGAGTCAGGATAAGGAAAAATTATAGTAATCTGAGGCTGGATACAACCGAAAAGGACCAAGCTTTAACTTCAGCGTCAGTTTGACACGTCAAAGTTTGACACAATGTTGTTTAACAGAATGTTGACTTCCTGTCACAAGACTCACCTCCACTGAGAAGTGGACATCCTCACTCTCACTCTTCTTGATCCGTTGGAATAAATCATCACAAAGCTGCAAATATAATTCCACAAATTATTATCAAAAATTACTTCAATATGCCTGCAACACTGTATCTCAATAATACACTAACATGCTGCGTCTTCAACATGCATAAATTTACATGATTTTTCAAAGATGTCAGACAATGTCAGCAAAATTTCATTTCAATGCAGTATATTTCAATTTCAAAGACCTTAATGGAGGCTACTATTGAGGACATTTCTGTTTGGAAACTTTAAATTATATTAATATACTGGTACGATATATTGACATCCATATTGAATGACCTTGACCCACTCACCTGTGGAATGATGCCCTGTTGACCTGGTTCATTCTTTCCCATCATGGTGTAGCTCTTTCCTGACCCAGTCTGGCCATAGGCAAAGATGCACACATTGTAACCTTCAAACGCATGGTCCAACATCTCCAGTCCAATATCCTCGTACACCTTGCTCTGTGATGCAAACATTGGGTCATTTGCCTGAAACACAGAAGAACATGGTGAAATTAGTTTCCTGCTGGTTTCATCTTCCCAAAGGGGCAGTGGGATAGCCTAGTCACGCATAGTGATGTCCTACTATGCACTGTCTCTGAGTCAACCAAGGGTGGCGGGGGTAGCCTAGTAGTTAAAGCATTCGCTTGTCACGATGAAGATCCAGGTTCAATTCCCCACAAGGGTACTATGTGTGAAGACCATTTCTGTCATCCCCCGTCGTGGTATTGGAATATTGCTAAAGGAGGCGTAAAGCCATACTCACTCACTCATCTACCCATTACAAAAACCACAGGATTCTTCTTTTTCCTACAGCTTAAGATCATCTAGTATGTTAAGGTTGTTTTTTCAATTATTCTGTCAGATGGACAAAAAATTCATGGAAGTTGTTTGTCTGATGCTCTGTTATAATTCAAAAGGTTAATGGATGTTTATTACTTTTTCATATTACTTTATAGTCATATTACTTCTGAATAACAATCAAACGAGTTATGGGCCTTTCTTTCCAAAGTTTGGTTTTGAAAATGCTGCCTAAATATCAAATTTGAAAAATCATACTTGGCTATTCCAAATCCAGAAAAAATCTGTTGTTTGACGTCCATTCAATTTGAATCCCATGATTTCACTTACCGATTATACCGTCAACTCAGTCAAATGAAGCCTTGTAATATTTCATAATATTTTGATTCCCAGGTGTCAGATTTGACCAAAATATAAACCTATATTATCCCCATTTCTGCACTCCTTGTTGTGGGGTAGCCTAGTGGTTAAAGCATGTGCTTGTCATGTCGAAGGTCAGTGTTTTCCCAAATGAGGAAAAGGTGGGAAGCCCATTTCTGGAGTTTCACACCTTGAGGCCAAATGAAAAAAATGTTGTGGTTCTGATTACACCTCTTTGAAACTTAGGGTAGGTAGGTAGGATTTCTTTGTTTTACATTTCTTTTAAAAGTAAAGTACAAACTAATAACACACTTATCAATGTTTAATTGTTTATTCAATCAAGCTTGCAGCCATCATGTCGACTTTCTCTTATCAGAGTGACTAATGTGGTGACGGGAAAAAACAATGGTATCTGAAAGCTTATTTTATTCATACCGCCTAAAATAGATAGGGTCGGCACCAGAATTCAAGGGTCGGTCGGGTAGTCGGAAACACAACATTTTTTTAGGCCTGATATTTCTGGAATATTGCCAAGAGCAGCGTAAAAACCAACTCGCTCACTCTTGGCATTACTTTCAGATGATATAAGATTCAGCATACTCTTCTCACACCTTTCAGTTTTTTTACCAGCTATCTTTCTGTCGCAGATTAGTTAAACCAAAGTCATGTTCACGTCTTGTTGTCTCATGCTGTACAGAATGTTTTCATCTTAATTTCTCATTTACCAAGTACACTGGTTCAGCCTTATTCCCTAAAAACACTTCACCTGCTCATTTTGTATGCTGTGAAAACCTTTGTTAATATTACGTATCTCATGACAAAGTCTTTCAGAGAAAATTACATAAATGTATTCAGATTTTTTAAAAAGGGAATATAAAAAAAACTGTCAATGTTCATGTGAAGATGTGCCAAAATGATAATGACCAACACGATGTTGATCAGAACCATATTTGAACACATCAACCTCACCAACACAACATCCAACCAACACAGCTTGTCCCCAAGTTACAAATTTTCCTCGGTCAATTAAATAAGTACTCTGACCTTGGTACCTTCTCAAGTTCAAATTAAGACATGGACAAAGCCAAAGCGTCTGAGCATAAACAATCAAATAATAATGCCGAGAAAGATGAAAAACGCCATGTGATGAATAAATCAAAGCAGAGTTGAGGAAACCTCGGTGGTTACAGTGTACTCAGTCATCTTGTCCTACCTACATCATGCTACTTGAAAGCCATGTGATCAATATTTGCGTCTTACCGTGTCTCGCAGTGCACGGAGCTGATGATCAACATGGCTTTGTCTTGTAATAATGGATGTGGGGATAATAAGCAGGATTCTGCAGGAAGCTTTACTTGTATATCAAATCAGTTTACCTCAGATATTATAGATTTTCCATTTCCAGCACCTGGGATGATAATGCATACTGGGGATGACTGTCTGAGTTTGGTTTTACGCCGCTTTTAGCAATATTCCAGCAATATCACGGCGGGGGACACCAGAAATGGGCTTCACTCATTGTACCCATGTCGGGATTCGAACCCGGGTCTTCGGAGTGACGAGCCAACGCTTTAACCACTAGACTACCGCACCGCCCCTACTGGGGATGAAGCTGTCGTGAGCAAGCTAAATGTGGGAGTTATGTTGTTGTCAACAATGTTACAATGAAGTCTAATTGAGTATGGACAAGCTCAATCAGAGGTCAGTAGCATGAGCAACAAATAACAAAGTAGATAGGAGTCGGATTTCACTAAAGCGCGCTGTGATGACTGACTGAGTATGGTTTTACATCGTTTTTAGCAATATTTCAGCAATATCACGACGGGGACACCAGAAATGGGCTTCACAAATTGTACCCATGTGGGGAATGGAACCCGGGCCTTCGGTGTGACGAGTGAACGCTTTAACCACTAGGCTACGCCACCGCCCCTCTAAAGCGCGCTGTGACCTGTATCTGTGATAGGTGACACTCGAGACTGTATTGTATCAACCAGAGATCAATAATGAGAGCAACAAATTATGAGGAAGATAGGAGTCAGATTTTAATGACTGAGCAAACTGTATCAGTAACAGGTGATACTTCAGACTTGACCAGATCAACCAGAGGTCAATATCATGAGCAACAAGAAGACAAAGTCATCAATATCCCCTGCAATGGCAAAATACTCTTCATGATTATGTCTATGAGTTATGATTATGTCAAATATTTAGGGGTGTATATAGAAAAGTGGAAGGAGAGCATTGAAAGGCTTTTAAAGTTCTGCTCCAGAAAGCAGCACTATCACCAATTTCAGGCTAAGTCAAACTTGTTGCCATGGAAACGCCAAAAATATTTTATTCAGAATTCCGAAACTACCACAAAGTACCAGTACACCACCAGATCTATCTATGGGCCAAGTTTGGTGAAGAAATATTGAACGGTTTTAAAGTTCTCCGGAAAAGAGCACTACCACCAATTTCAGTCTAAGTCGAACTTGTTGCCATGGAAACGCCAAAAATATTTTATTCAGAATTCCAAAACTACCAAAAGGCACAAGTACACTACCAGATCTATCAATGTGCCAAGTTTGGTGAAGAAATAGAGAAATAGTTTTAGAGTTCAGCTCCGGAAAAGAGCACTACCACCAATTTCAGGCTAAGTCAAACTTGTTGCCATGGAAACGCTGAAAATATTTTATTCAAAATTTCAAAGCTACCAAAAGGCACAAGTACACTACCAGATCTATCAATGTGCCAAGTTTGGTGAAGAAATAGTGAACAGTTTTAGAGTTCAGCTCTGGAAAGAGCACTACAACCAATTTCAGGCTAAGTCAAACTTGTTGCCATGGAAACGCCGAAAATATTTTATTCAGAAATCCAAAACTACCAAAAGGCACCAGTACACCACCAGATCTATCTATGTGCCAAGTATGGTGAAGAAATAGTGAACGGTTTTAGAGTTCTGCTCCGGAAAAGAGCACTACCACCAATTTCAGTCTAAGTCAAAATTGTTGCCATGGAAACGCCAAAAATATTTTATTCAGAATTCCAAAACTACCAAAAGGCATCAGTACACCACCAGACCAATCTATGTGCCAAGTTTGGTGAAGAAATAGTGAACGGTTTTAGAGTTCTGCTCCGGAAAAGACAAATGTGCATGGACGGACGGACTGACGGACGGACGCACGCACGGACGGAGTCCATTTTAATACCTCCCGCAAAACGCGTTGCGGGGGATAACAAATTATGAGGACGCGAGGACCTGGATTTCACTGATTGAGCAATGTGAAACTGTATCAGTAACAGGTGAAACTTGAGACTTGACTAGATCAACCAGAGGTCAATATCATGAGCAACAAATTATGAGGACGCTAGGACCTGGGTTTCACTGATTGAGCAATGTGAAACTGTATCAGTAACAGATGATACTTGAGACTTGACTAGATCAACCAGAGGTCAATATCATGAGCAACAAATTATGAGGACGCTAGGACCTGGGTTTCACTGATTGAACAATGTGAAACTGTATCAGTAACAGATGATACTTGAGACAGGACAAGAAAAATATCATCCAGAGATCAATAGTGTGAGCAACAGATTATGAGGAAGCTGGGAGTGGGGTTTCAGTTAGGACAAGATCAACCAGGAATCAATATATGAAGAAACAAGTTTGGTGAAGGAATAGTGAATGGTTTTAGAATTTAGCTCCAGAAAAGTGCACTACCACCAATTTCAGGCTAAGTCAAATTGTTGCCATGGAAAAGCCAAAAATATTTTATTCAAAATTTCAAAACTACCAAAAGGCACCAGTACACCACAAGATCTATCTATGTGTCAAGTTTGGTGAAGAAATAGTGAACGGTTTTAGAGTTCTGCTCCGGAAAAGAGCACTACCACCAATTTCAGGCTAAGTCAACTTGTTGCCATGGAAACGCCAAAAATATTTTATTCACAATTCCAAAACTACCAAAAGGCACCAGTACACCACCAGATCTATCTATGTGCCAAGTTTAGTGAAGAAATAGTGAACGGTTTTAGAGTTCACCTCCGGAAAAGAGCACAACCACCAATTTCAGGCTGTCAAATTTGTTGCCATGGTGCCATGGAAATGCCAAAAATATTTTATTCAGAATTCCAAAACTACCAAAAGGCACCAGTACACTACCTGATCTATCTATGTGCCAAGTTTGGTGAAGAAATAGTTAACGGTTTTAGAGTTCTGCTCCGGAAAGGAGCACAACCACCAATTTCAGGCTAAGTCGAACTTGTTGCCATGGAAACGCTAAAAATGTTTTATTCAGAATTCCAAAACTACCAAAAGGCACCAGTACACCACCAGATCTATGTATGTGTCAAGTTTGGTAAAGAAATAGTTAACGGTTTTAGAGTTCTGCTCCGGAAAAGTGCACTACCACCAATTTCAGGCTAAGTCAAACTTGTTGCCACAGAAACGCCAAAAATATTTTATTCAGAAATCCAAAACTACCAAAAGGCACCAGTACACCACCAGATCTATCTATGTGCCAAGTTTGGTGAAGAAATAGTTAACGGTTTTAGAGTTCTGCTCCGGAAAAGTGCACTACCACCAATTTCAGGCTAAGTCGAACTTGTTGCCATGGAAACGCCAAAAATGTTTTACTCAGAATTCCAAAACTACCAAAAGGCACCAGTACACCACCAGATCTATCTATGTGCCAAGTTTGGTGAAGAAATATTGAACAGTTTTAGAGTTCTGCTCCGGAAAAGACAAATGTGCACGGACGGACGGACGGACGCACGGACGGAGTCCATTTTAATACCCCCCGCAAAATGCATTGCGGGGGATAATGAGTGTTTCAGAAGACATAAATGGCAACGTAAATTGTATTTTTGTTTTATCTCATGTTTTCAGTTTTTCCCCAACAAACATAAAATATGATTTGAAAAGCATCACCAACATAATTTTTAAATTTAGTGTTTTGGTTCTCAAGTAAGTATTTTGCGACCAATAAGCAACAACACTGATTATTCAGTGAAGCTCTTGACAAAGGTGTGTGTGCTTGTCGTAGTATCTGCAATCACGATAATCTACAGTTCATTTTTATAGTCAGAAATTTATTTGAAAAATAATCATTGTTCCAGTATCAACTGCTGTATGAGTGATTACTAACAAATCTTATCAATCAAAGCAAAAACGTATTCTGTTCTAAGCTTTTGACATTTTCATGCACGATGTCAAATCGACATGCATGAGTCAGCTGTCTGTTTTCACAAGCTGTGATCAAGAGGTTATGAATCACCCCCAAAACAGCTGAACTGAGTGAACAGTCCTGAGGCTACATCATACAGAGGAAGTGTGTGATTATGTGTAATAACACATAAGTCAGCCATACACGCCTTGCACCCTCCTACACACACTTCAAGCAGTAGTAGTGTCATCGCCAGGGGTAACTGCACTCCATGTATAATAACAAGGCGTATACACCAGCAGTCCACCTGGTACTGTTTGTTTTACTTGCTCATCTCCTTCACACAGAAAACCAAGATCGAGACACAACCAACACATAGGCACAAAAAAATAAATGTTGTGGTTCCGATTTCCTACGTTTCAGAACTAGGGTAGGTAGGTAGGTGTTTGGGGTTTTTTTGCAAAATATTTTTACATTACTCATGTGTCAGAAAATAAATTTAATTTATTATGTGGTGAGTAAAATTGTTAGGCTCGGCAGGAATATTTAGGGTCTGTCGGGAAATCGGAACCACAAGCTTTTTTTTTTTAGGCCCTTAAACTACACCAGCATATGTTTGAGTGAAAGAAGCATATTTTATGCCCAGCCAGCAATATTTCAGCCATGTCACACTGCAGCCTTGTGAATACAATTAAACCGTTAATCTGGACATTATCATTGAATTCATCTGGATATATTTAAAAAAAATTCATAAATATATCATTTCAAGGTAATATAGACTGAGTGATTGAGTGAGTGAGTTTGGTTTTACGCCGCTTTTAGCAATAATCCAGCAATATACACCAGAAATGAGCTTCACACATTGTACCCATGTGGGGAATCGAACCCGGGTCTTCGGTGTGATGAGCAAACGCTTTAACCACTAGGCTACCCCACCGCCCAAGACTCCCTGAAACTTTGTAGATGTTCATTATAAGCTTGGAACAGAGGGCCCTCGCACAAAGCTGTCTTAGTAAGGTGATCATAACTCTCATACGTTAGCCTGGTCCTATGATAGTTGTAGTGCAAAGATTGCTTTATGTTGGGCCAGGGTAACCCTGTGATTGAGTCCAGGCCAAACAAACAGGTGGTTGACAACATGAGCAGAATCTATGCTACTAAGTGGGTCATGATGACACACGATGAGTGGAGACTTTTACAGTAAAGTAAGCACACAACTCAGTCTGCTCTGTAGACAGGTATGGGACCTTTTCTGTCCTGGATTACCCATAGGGTTGGTTAAGACAGAAGTTGCTTTTTCCAACTCAGAAATGCCAGTATGCATCTAGCCTGGATCTAAGGAGGATCAAGCAATACCAGACTTGGGTTTGGGTTTAACGCTGCTCAGTTCAATGTGGGAGGAAAACACATATAAACCAGGAAACCAGGATTCAAACCCACAATCACAGGTTTCCGGTGCGTGAGTGAGTGAGTTTAGTTTTACACCACTTCTAGCAATATTCCAGCAATTTTACAGCAAGGGACACCAGAAACGGGCTTCACACATTGTGCCCATGTGGGGAATCAAACCCAGACCGGCATGACAAGCGAAAGCCTTAACCTCCTGGCTACCCCACCGCCCCCGGTTTCTGGTGAACAAACTGAATTCATGAAGGGATATTGTTCCATCCACTGAATACAAGAATGAATTGCAACAGCCCCAAATCACTGAAATTCTTACGTTTGTGTGTGACCAGTAGGAATAGTCAAAGTTGAAGCTCTTTGGTGTCCCGTCCCTCTTGTCCTTAGGTGGGTTGATGACTGCAACAGAAACACAGACAGTTGTAGTCTACTGCTTTATAATCATTCGTCACCTCTTTCTATTACCTGCTAGAAGCCTTTTCCCCTTTTGTGAAAGTTATAACAAAATAAGACAAATCAATCAGAACAATCATATGACTTCAGGTACTTTGGTCAAAGAATCCTTCCGAAAAAATGTTTCTATTTTACATAAGATACAGTAAATTTTGGAACATCATACTGTATTATCAAGCTATAGTATGATGTGTATAACATGTAATATGTGACATATGGGGAGAATATGTTAATCATTAAAGTTGACAATTCGTTTCGCTATGAATGTTTGCTTTTAGATGAAACCCTATCACAAAAATGGGCATGAGAGAGGCACACATCATTATTCAGCTTAAAGTTTGAAATTATGTTCCTTTTGTTACAGAAGTTGACATCCATGAATCTCCACAAGAATAACGATAGTAATGATACCATTCAAAATCAAAATAAATAAATATAGTTAACAACTGCAAGATTCACATTTGCATTTCTTGAAAATAACTATCACAAATTTTGCCCAACAGATATTTGATATTCGGAAAAGATTAACGATTAAGTAATGCCCAGGAATAAGGTACTACAAAGGTGCAACAAGGTGATCAAGAGGAGACAACTCCTACCTGTAGTGTTTCCCTGCATATTAATAATGCACTCAGCATCCCTGGATGTCTCCCTTGAGTTGAAGGGACGAACCCTCACAGCTACCTTGACAGATGACATGATGGCAGCTTAACTGAAACAAGGAAATTGAACCGTTTGATAACATATAACACACATAGAATTCTAAGTAAACATGAGTGGGGCAAACTATTCTGGGGCAAACTCGTCAAAGCAACCTGAATTCCCACATTAAATAGCGGTAAAATTGGCTTTCTTGCTGGCGCTAACCATAACAATTGCACTATTAACGTTGTTGTTGGACCAAACATGTTGCAGGCTATGGCCTTGTCAAAGGCCAAGGTCAAATATCGTCACGTTCTGTTGTGACGTCACTTGAATTGTTCGATGATGTAATTGCATTCGGTCAGTCAACAGAAGTTGGTTTTGAGTAAACATACAGTCAAATTCCTTCATTGTTTCCTTTTTCTTTTCAACACAAATTCCATGTATTTTAGCAATAATAATGGTAATGCAATTTTTGAGGGCATTATCATTTGCAGAAGCCCTCAGTCTTTTTCAACTGCACTCCTTCGTCAGGCAGTTAATGGAAGACCTAGGGCTTCTGCAAATGATAATGCCCTCAAAAATAGCATTACCCTTATATTAGTTTCCCTTCCGCCCAGCGCTTTTTGCAATGCTATAGCCTAGAATGAAGCAAGTCTATATTCCTCTGGTCCTGAATCTTCTATTGGAGTGGGGCTACTTTTTAATTTAAAAGGAATTGTTTGTTTATATTGAAATGACATATATTCAGAAAGCAAGCATTACTCTGTTTCAAGAGCAGTACCTAAAAAACCTGGAACAAGCAAGTTATTTAAAGGGCACGGCAGGGATGTAATCCATGAAAACCAAAATATTGTGTTTAGTAGTTGGTATCACAGTCCACAATTTCAGAGGTCACACTGACAGCTAAGTAACAAAATTATGTTACTTAGTAATCATTAAAGAAAAAACCCACTTTCAGACAAGACAATCCACAATGGACAGGAAACAAAAACCACAAGAAAGCACACACAGACCTATCTTCAAGGTTCAACAGTAGTTCCTTATAAAGGACATCACCATTAGCACAGACCTCAGTGGGACAAAGTCACGTACGAAATGATGCGTAATTCCTGACACAAGACAAAGAAATTGACAGGAAACAGTCTCTTCTGTTTTGTGAGCACCATTAACAAGTCCTTACAATGGTTTCCTCCTAGGAAATGACAAGGTCCTTTAGTTATCGCATAAACTGGAGTAATCTGTCATGTATCCTCAGCAATGATGTTTCCGATGAGTAGCTTGCGATGATCAAGCATGCTGATGATGCAAAGGTACACTGGCTGGGTTTCACATCCCCATAAATTACTCAAAATAAGTTCAAGCCAAGTAATGCCCCAGCAGTCTTAACACTACGACTGTTGTAAGTGTGTGCTGGAGTGTGGGAGTTAGGTTCGTCTTGGTGCTATGACAACTGTAAGTCTATGCCTGAGTGTTGTCTCAGGGCTCAGATCCCTTTGTACAACATGGCTCAGGTAACCTTTCCTGAACCAAAATGGGAAACCCACAGGATTTGGTTTCACATCAATAATTCAGTTCTTAATGAAGCACACTCAGTATACCTCAAATATAGACTGTCTCACAGTCCCTCAACCACAATATTTTCCCTTCCACCAAGCCCTTTCCACAGTAGAAAGGCTATAATGAAGAAAGTCAAGATGTTCCTCAGCCTCAGGTTCTGATTCTTCTAGTTTACTGTGGCTCATTTTTAATTAAAATGGAGTAATTTGTTTCTAAATTATATAAGATCAGAAACTAAGTATGAACCCAACCTAAACTGTTGAAGCAGCTGTAATCGATCACATAACTTTGTTCGACTGAGTACCGACAACCTGCACGATTGTAATGACAAAAGAAATAGTGACTGTGTAGTTTCTATACCACCAATTAACACCTTAAGCATGGTAGATTATTACCCTCCCCCTCCCAGATGTCCCTGAGCTGTACTAATTATTGTATCAGTGTCTTGCTACACACTGGATACCAGCTGTCAAGGGTAATAAACCTGGATTCTGCAACATGAGCAAATGTTATTGAGGCTGGTCAATACGTACATTTATCAAATGGACAGCATACAATAATACATGTAACTCTCATGACAAATGTGACATATATAATATTTATATCATATTTAATAGAAAATTATACTCAAGAGTTTACCACAGATATGATTTATTTCATTGTGTAAATTTATCACTGTTTACAAGTCATGTCATGTTGTGAGTCAAGCTCGTGAGTTTTACTGCTTTATAATTTAGAGGCAGCTCACAAATAAAGATGTAGTTTTGCATACTGAGCTAGTAAATTAATACTAAATTTATCACAATAGTTTGTGTACTATATTATCACTGACCCAACTTTCATATCAATAATTTTTAATAATTCTTCTCATAGATGATGTTTCTAATTATGGATCTTTTTAGCCAGCCCTGTGAATTATACAATTTCTGACAGTTGATCTCTATTGCCAGTATTGCATATGGGCATTTACTTATGATTGTACATTGCACTGCCAATGGGTATAAAACTGAAACAATTAAACCCTTTAAACAATTAGTAACATTTTAGTTCAGCCTGTTCCTTAAATAAGAATTCATTTTGTTCTTAAGAATGCTAAAAATTGAATTTAATAAAATCAGAGATGCCAACACTATTTTGGGCCTAAGTGTAATAATAGTGGTCAAAAAGTGTAATTTGGACCTAAAAAGTGTAATACTTGTCTGCCGATCGCTTCAACATGGTACACGTTTTCACGAAAGGAAGATTCTAGACAGAAACACATGTGACCAATCATTATGAAGCTCCATACATTGAAAATTGTTGGTCATGTGACTCAAAATACTTTAATTCCTTGCAAGTATATTGGAATGAGTGCGATGCTAAGAGTAAGCGATTCCTATTCATGCAAGGCCATTTCTGCACCCCTGCACCTGTGCGTTACGAAACACTCCCCTTTGAAATTTTACCCACTTTATTGATTTTCGTAAAACGAGTAGAAAAGTGTAATTTTTCGCAGATTAAGTGTAATGGTGTAATATACTGGTCAAAATCGTATTAATTACGCCTAAAGCGTAAGGGTTGGCATCTCTGTAAAATGCATGTTCAACATGTTGGATAAAAATACACAGTTGCACTAAATATTTAAAAAATGTCCTCCTCTTATGACATTTTAAGACAGGCAATATGCAAGATACATATACATGACCTGCGAGCCATGCAACCTCTGACCTTCAACAACTCCCAAGTGCTTTGCAAACTGATCCTGAGCTAACATTCTAGTATGGGCCTCAATTTACAATTACCATGACCAGACACACAACGTTCAGTAATCCTGACTGACCACCAGGGACCACACTGACCCACTGACTTGATTGACAAGTCTATCTGCACAGACAACACTGTCTTTCCCTGTTTCAAAGATTGTCTCTTGGGTCTTATTCCGCCATGACACCACCACAAACCAATCGAAGACCAATGCAAACTTTGTCCAACAAATTGCTCAGTTATGAATAATTTTGATAAAGGCTGGGAGAAGAGACACACATGATTAATCAGAGCATTCTGATCTGAATATTCAATAATTTAGGCATATTAGTCATGACCAGTCATTATTTAAGGTTATTGCACTTGCATACCATCTGTCAGCCATATTTGTTTTGATGCTTCTAATCACCATGACACAAGACAGCATGGTTTAATTGAAAAATAGGGTGATAAATCTCATTGGTGTGGTTTAATATGATCATACCATGAAAATGAACATCAAAGTGATTATAAACACTGGATATCAGACATCAACATTGAAAGATTACTTGGAGAAGAAGTTCCATAATACCATGAAGCAACCTCATCAATTTCTCGCATTGAGCAGCCACATGTTAACAAACATAATTTGTATTACCTTCAGAAACTGAAACTTCTAAAAATGAACACACTAAACAGGAGGTAAACTTCCACACTTATTCCCCCTAAATTTTAATGATGAGGAAAAAGATATCTATATATACAGACATGAGAACGGCAAAGCACAAAAAACACATTTAGCCGGGGGTCTTTTATTGCAGATTTACTTCGATCTCAAACATATTCCACATTTCGGCTCCTCTCTTCAACCACTGGCAACCCTGTGCACCACATCTACTAGACTTCTGCTTAGTCTCTGAATACATATAATTTGAAAGAAAAAAATAATTAAAAATAAATTGAAAAGGATCCCCAGTGAGACGGGAGATTCAGAACCTGAAGAAATCTTGACTTGCTTCATTTACTGGCAAACAAGGATAAGTTGGACTGGTGCAGAGAACGCGAGAAGTAGGTGTTGCACAGCAATGAGTAAACCCATTTGGTTTGTGAAAGGTATAGTCTGTCATACAGACCCTGAAGCAAATATATCCAAGAAAGCCCACGCAAGTCTAGAAAATATGGCAAGTCTAGATATATATATTTTTTTTCACTATGAGCTTTTTTCTGTAAAATATGTTCCTTCCAGAGACTAGTTGTTAGTCTATGAAAGGTAGAGCAGATGTAGGCTAGTGCATGTGCATTGCATGACGATGAAATTGATTCTGTGCGTAGCTGAGTACATGCCATGCTCAAAAGACTCTCATGTCGGTGTAGCAAGTCGCACTACACTTGATCGCAGACAACCTGGGGCCCCTTCGCTAACAATGGCATGCGCCAGTGGGCGGCACTCATACATGCTAATATAGGTCAATTGTCAGGTCGATGCTCAACTTATCCTTGTTTGCCAGGAGGACTTTATCATTGCAGAATGGGCTGGGAGGAAGTGAAAATAATCCGGTTCAGGGACTGTGAGACAGACTACTCTCTTCAAGTTATGCAGTGTACTTATCTGTGGTGTAAAATCTAACCAAAAACAGATATTGTAAACCAACACACCTCCTGACTGCTATCGGGATATGACTGAGACTCAAGTACCTTTTTCACCCAAACAGTCCTTTGAGTCCTTTTATTTGTCTTTTCTATTCTGTGTTGACTATCTATTGTGTAAATTAGCCCCAGCATGCTGCTGGATGATAAGAACGTTGTAGATACAACACTGTATCACGTCTTTATCAAGGTCAGCCTTCACCTCACCAGCCTTCACCCTGTGTGATGTAACCCTGATTATCATGGACATGATACAGGTCCTCAAGGCCTGTCAACAGCTGATAATGGCTACACGTTTCTTCAATTGTGATATTCTTAGGCTAATTGACAAGTGGTTCCAGGTGCTTGAAATTGATTTTCTTGTTTCCGATTTCATTGGGATGTAAAAATGCACCTTGCATCTTCTAGTCAAGGTGACCTCTTGTTAATGAGGCTTTCCGATTGCCATAACTGTTAAGGAATTCCATCGCTTTTTGTTCCTTATTTTATTCCTTTTGATAATGAAAGTGTCAACTCACTTCAAAGACATAAACAATGACATACATGCTATTTGTATTTATGTGCTTCTGAAAAGCAGTAACAGTAATCTTTACTCAAAGGGGAAAATGTTTAAAAAATCATACTATAAAGTTGAAGCATTTCATGTGGTAACTGCAGAAATGCATTATTTTGTGAAACTAACATCAAGAGAATCACAAATAGAAAATATGGAGCATAAAAACACAGTTTTTTTTGGCTATTTCAAAGATGTGTTTAGCCAGTACATCCAAAAGAGAAATAAAGAAAAGATTTGTAAAGTTCAGCAAGGATAAGCCAAGAGAAAATTCAGGGGGATTTGCTGTTTACAACCCAAATGTTGTTGTTTCATACATCCTCTGAAATGAGCCGCCAACAGTACAACCACCGTTCAGACAAAATCATTAGCGTGCACTGATGCATTTTCATTATGAGTCAAAGGGGTATTGTTTTTCAAGTTCATTATAACCTTAATTAGAAAATGATTATAGAGTACATATGAGGGCTGTAATGATGCCCTCGCATGTACAGTGAATCGAACCATACCCCTTCATGAATTCACTATATTATAACATGATCGACATAGGTGGATCCAGAAATTTTCAAAGGGGTGTGTGGTGTGGTGTGTGTGTGTGTTCAAGGGTTTTTGTTCTGCCATTGCAAAACATTAATGTGGTTCGAACCCCTTGACACCCCCCCAACCCCCACCCTGGATCCGCCACTGATAGAATATTTAGGAACTATGTGTTTTTACTTGAGTGAGTGAGTTTAGTTTTACGCACTTTTAGCAATATTCCAGCAATATCAGGCCGGGGGACACCAGAAATGGGCTTCACACATGGAAATTGATCCTGTGTCTTTGGCGTGTCGAGTGAATGCTATAAATCACTAGGCTACCCCACCGCCCGTTTTTACTGAATTTGAGTGTTATTAATATTTGGAAAATGCAGTATATGCAAGCCGAACAGGATAACAGTCAACATGCTTACATGTTCAATTTGACAGTAATTTTGTCATGAAAAATTAACACAAGTCAATATGGTTAAAACATGGAGGGCTGCAACGATTCAGTTCAATTCATCGATTCGATAATTTAATACCTATTTAAATCATTTCCACACAGCCTGAACATAATTTCAAGCACTGAAATAAGGTAAAACGTGATTGGTTGATGCCGGGCTAATTATCAATTGTTGTTAGTAGACATCGCCAAGTTGACGATGGATTTCACGTTAAAAAAAGCCGGATTTGACAGTTAAATGAAATCTGACGTTTTTACTTTTATGAAGAATCGAATCAAAAATGATCAAATAAGGGTCCAATATCGAAAATCAATTTGAATCGAGGTCTGGGTGAATTGTTGCAGCCCTAAGAATATGTCAATATTTTGTTGAACTAGTAATTATAAATAATACATCTACTGCAGACTTGTTATTGTATTCATTGCCAAATATTCATCATATTCGCCTTCTACTGGATTCATTGCAGCCTACTGTGTCCATACAGCAATGTACATACTGTCCAGTACAAAGTTACACCAATGTTCCTGAGAACAGTGTCAACCCCCATACATCCACTCCTAGACTAAGGCTTAGTCTCTGAATATATATAATTTTGATAGTAACAAACAAGCCCATTTATATTGAAAAGGAGCCCTAGGGAGACCAGAGAGGAAATCTAGACTTGCTTTATTTAGGGCTTTAGCACTGCAGAGAGGGCTTGAGGCAGTAGGGAAATTAATGTGGTTCAGGGACTGTGAGACAGACTAACCCACTCCTTGCACGGGTGTGCAAGAAGTCATTTGGTGAGGGGAAGATGCCACTTAAAAACTGCAGATTGTATGATGGCTGCATTCAAGAGCCAAAAGTGTTTGAGTTGGGTTTTAAGCTGTTTTTAGCATTAATATTACAGCACGGCATGTGATAGGATTTCTATCACGGCGGGGGACACCAGGAATGGGGTTTACACATTGTGCCCATGTCGGGAATCAAACCTGGGTCTTCAGCATGACGAGCAAACGCTTTAACCACTAGGCTACCCCACAACCCTCAAGGAGCCAAGAACATTGGTGCTATAAAAATCAAGTTGTGTGAAGTGACATGAACAATTTTTACCATGAAAAGGACTATGATGCTTACAACATAATTCATAAATTGTTGTTACAATAAATAGAACAGAAAACTGGTGAAAATAAAAAAAATAATATCACAATCTGGTCACCTGTGTGTTCTAAAATAGCTACCTTCAAGTTGAGAAACGTCTTTGCTATGAAACAACGATCATGTTTGGGAAATTCAGTTCATGATTTGCATCAGAAACAAATATAACAGCAGACACTGTGAAGTTGGAAGGCATTGTTCACGCTTACTTTATCACAACACAAGTAGAGTTACTTCCCTTGGACATGACAGACACCAATGATCATGTGTTTGAATTCAAGTGGCCCTGAGAATGTTCATCAACAAACCTATGCCTGTGCCAAAGTGGTAAATGTCTGAGACCACTTATTCAACTCCGACATGCCGAAATGTAATTGGAACACTATTAAAAGTGGCATCAAACCCAACTCACTCACACACTCTATCTAAATGACTTCCTTTCACAGCAGCATTCTCACCATTTGCTAATGAGCACTGTTCAATTGTACATCTCACAATACAACATAGGACACATCAGAACATTTTGTTGCTTTCTCATCATAAAAATTTGGTACAGACAGGAATTAGTGAGTTTAGTTTTATGCCGCTTTTAGCAATATTCCAGCAACATCTCAGTGAAGGACACAGAAATTGGCTTCACACATTGTACCCATGTGAGGAATCGAACCCGGGGCATTGGCATGACGAAACTACTCTCAAGCCACAGACTCTGTTAGACCAGTAGCCCGTTCCTCAAAGCGATCGAAGCGCAATGATAGCCGTATGTCTATGTTAGAGTATGGGAGTTACGATCATCTTAGTGCTATGATCGCTTTGAGGAACGGAGCCCTGAACAGAGAGAGTATCTTCAGCTCCTTCGGAACAAGAGCCTATTGACAACAACTGACCGGACAGTACAAATGGGGATCATATCCACAGGCTGTTGACATTTTCAGCATTCAGAATGATGGAAGACATCATCACAGTACCTTGAGGTGACATCCCCCACAGTATACTTGATTCTACTGACCCCCTAAACTTAACACTAGAGTTATGACAATCATCTTAAATTTCATAATTAATTTTTAACACTGTTATGTAACACAATTGTCTTTGTTACTTAACATATGTTTATTCTTTACATGCTGTGAATGTTATTTTTCATAAATCTGGATTACAAACATCATTATCTTTCAAAAGTAGTCACTGAAAAAGACACATATTCAAAACAAATTCAGCCATCTTGATTGAATCTTTATCATAACAGTATTCAGTAATTTGGGATCATTGCATCATCTTCCATAATAGTCTTCATTTTCAAACAATGTACATCTTATTGATATGTAAATTTGTTACAGAACCAAATTGCTTTGCACTAATAATGGCCCTGTTAATCAATATGTATATGTTTTCTCGTCACCATCTTTGGTGAGTCACAGTTGTGTCATAACATAGAACTGAATAATTCACTCAAAGCAGTTTGACGAAGCATGTCCTGCATTGCACATGTAAAAAAACTAAATTTTCATTCCATCATTTATTGACTTATTACATGATGTACGTGACACAATAGATTATTATCATCACGGTTGTTTTCATCCGCTGTAATCCCATGATACAATCCGCTTCCTCTCGATCATTCCTGTCAGTCAATTCTTTCCATACACGGCGCTGACAAATTTATGGGGAAACCTTATAATTATATGTACCCAAAATGTCTCGGGACAGACTAAATGTCAAAACCAGAATGAAATGGACATTATAAAGGCTGACATGATGATGTCAAACTCCGTCTCAAGATTACATATTTCACAGTGACATAACCACAGAGACAAATCTCTCTCCTAACTGGTACAAAATTCTGAAAGATGATAATGAAACTTACGTTTTTCTTCCAGAAATCAATGCAGTCCTCCCTGCCGACCTGGCAAAAATGTTAGTTTCTAGCGATACGGTCTGTATCTCTTGTACTGAAATGGATCCGGACCGACCCCTCAGGATCCCGTCCCTGAAAGGAATATCACCACGTCAATTTCAAGAATCAGATGTTAGAACGCTGTCAGGCTGTCAAATCTCCCCCATCCTATTTAATATCCATGCTGGAAGGCCATTCCTTCCATCCAGTTCTTCAGAAACGAGTCCAGATCCACCATTTTTCTATAGGTGTATTTATTATTATCATTGAGGCTGGGAAGAATTGCTAATGTATCACGTCATGTCTGATTCTATGCCAACCAGCTACCACATTATTCATTTGTTTGTTCACTACACGCAGGAAACCACTGGCATACAGTCTCGTTCTGAGCAAACTGGGGAATATTTCTTCATAAATTAATTAATTAGCATTGGTAATGGCATTTCTGCCCAGCAAAGCGCTATCCTCAAAGGAACTGGAATATTGATCAGAATTCCGTCACGTATCCATTACTATTAAGCCTGAACTTGCAGAGGATGCTGGGAATGGATTGAGTATTGATCTGCAGACATTATGTCGATTTGGCATCGCCTCAATAACTGTTGGTCTTGTCATTTAGTCTAGCGGAACAGATTACCACTTGTTCTTTCACACCCGGCCTCCCTTGAGTGGGTTCTACAATGGAGGATATGGACAAACATGGCAGTATCAGCCGAACTGGCCACAGGCTAAACTATGGACGTTTGTTATTATCATAATCAATGAAATATTCGGAACGAAACTGAGGCTGACTTTATACTTTCATGAATGGGTGAATCATTCTGTGAGCTGTGTATTATGTCATGGAGCTAATGAAACTACCCAGTCAGTCAATCAAATGATCATTTGGGATCTATTGTCAGACGAAGGGAAGCACATGTCAAATGTGAATATCAGACATCACAAACATAAAAGCTATCAAAAGGTTCAAAATTAAATGTTAATTTAAATAAGGTCAAAGAATTTTCCTACAACCTGAAACAACAGATGGTTATGGACAAATCTATATCAAACTCAAGTTAGCCTGTTTTAGATGATTTTGTTTAAAAGAATAAAATTGGAATTAAATATTTGGGTCCTAAATGCGAGTGAACTGCTTCTACACTTATAAGTGTTTGAAGAAAGGGATCAGTTAAGGTTTAGGTTAGAATTGGTCTACAACAACCTATGTTTGTCGAAAGAGCCTCGCCGCGACTAACGGGATCAGGTGGTCAGGCTTGTTGAACTGGTTGATACATGTCATTATATCCCAATTGCTTAGATCGATGCTCATGTTGTTGATCACTGGATTGTCTGGTCCAGACGTGATTATTTACACACTGCTGCCATATAGCGAGTATAAACAAAGAAACACACAAACAATGAAAGGGGGTTTTGGTCTCCTTGAGATGGTTGGTGGTATTTCAGTCTGGGACATCCGACATCATCCAACTGGAACTGTGATGGGCTCCTTGACCTTCCATGTTTAATATCAAGCAGAAAAGCCCAATGCAATACTATTGCCATGAGGAACTAACACAGAATATTGTAAGACTTAATGGTGCACTGTCTGCTTTGTACTTTCTGATTAGGTACTATTGTAATCTGCCCTCTGTGATGCAGACTCATTCTACATATGTAATAAGGTTAATAATCCAGTTAAATACACATATTTGAGTTAGCAAACAAAGTTACATTTCAACCAGTTCAGTCAAATATGGCAGGCCTGACTATTTGACCGAGCACAGAGACATGTTAACATATTGAAGATTCTCAACTCTTCCACAGCTCGATAACATGATCATTGTTTGTGGTTTAGATTTACAGTTGAATCTCATTTTGACAGATTTTGATGTGTCAAACTTCTGGTTATTTCGGACTCACATTTCATTTATTTTTATCATCATGCATACTGGATCAAAATCTCAAGTTGTTTTGAACTCTTTTGGGATTCCCAAGTACCTAAATTTGTAAAGAATAAAATTCCCAAGGTGATTCAACATAGTAACCATCCACATACCCACTTGCCAAACTTTCAACTCACTCAACCTCACTGCTGCAATTACATCATCAAAGGCAAACTGGTTTCTCAAACCATACCAATATCCAATCAAGCTTAATTAACACGTACACCTGACAAACAGGTGCAAGCTGATTACTGTATACACATAAGTAGCAAATTACTGCGTTGTTACTGCCATTGACACACGTAAATTGAGAAATCATGGCAGAGTGAAACACATGAAAATTATGGTACTAAATTGCTCAACAGATTATCTTGATTGGGATCGATGTTGAATCTAGATAACGTTAAACATATGGCAATAATATTCTCTAACAACAGGATGTTTGGATTTTCTTGTCACTTTGGTTGTCCTAAACCCTTAAAACTCAAACTCTTTTCAGGTTCCCACAGGTTCAACTGTATATCCTATAATTAATCTATCTCAACATCCTTCTCATTAGTTAAGCCATGTGTGTCAGCAGACCGTTTGAAATTTGATAGTATTGTCTAGTTTTAATGTGAAGACAAAAATAATATATCATGGCATACGATAGCCAATTCAACTTATGAAAAACACCCGTGACTAACTGTCTTGTTGACAAAATGTCCAAAGAATCTTTTTTTATTATAGATCAATGTATTGAAATCTACCCATAGTCCTTAATTTCCCTTTTAATACTTTTCTACATCTCGCCCCTGCTTGTACAAGTTGTAGAATGCTATATATGATTTTATGACTATGGTTACATGTGATTTGTTCTGTTATCTGTTCATGTATGTATTTTAGTGATTTCTGATGATGTAAGACAAATTTCCTTTGAGACAATTAAGTACAATAAATCTGTCACTATCGGTAACAGCAAAATAACCAATTTATCAAACGTCAATAAAACCTCAATTTCTTGTAATCTTTTTTCAGACAAGTTTACAGTTGATCAGGACTTGTGCTTTCTTTCTTTAAAGATCTTTAAATGTTCAAAGAGGCTACCCATTCACTGATGGGTAAACAGAGGCAATTTTGAACACACTCACTTGCCTTAAGGTGAGACCACATGTGTCACATGTGCTTCTTTGTGGGGCAGGACTGAAGTCCTAGAAACTCTCAGGGTCACTGTCAAGCAGCAAAACACAGTCATCGAACAATGGATTCTGTGTGACCGTTGCTTAACTTTAACTGACCTGGGCTCCAAACACAAGTCACCACACACCACCATGGGGCACCATAGATCTACTCAATGTATGGGACATTTTGTAGCCTTGTCAAAATATATGCCCCAAAGTAGAAGTGAATATTGTAGCATGGTGCATCAGCATAACCTGGTACCCACTGACAGATACCGACCAAATTCTAAATGATCTGAATGAAGACCATAACTGTCAAATATCAACACAGACAAAACTGACGCCATTTTAAAAACACATAGAAGACATACTCACTGTACTGGTGTATATCAAAGTGTGCAGTGATATGAAATTATCCCATGTGCCTGAGCATGCTGAGTAATGGGCAAGACTGTCATGTCAGGTCATGCTTCGGACGCATCATGACATTCAAGTTCACATCCATGCACGACTATGCAAAATATTCCAGTCTCGACACTTAGCATTTGACACAGACCCGGCCTAACAAATCAGATATAAATGTAATTCATTGCAATCAGGAAAATTGATTTTTATTGCATATTATTGTTGTTAAACAGTCTAACACAGCTTTTAGTTAACTGATGATTTAATGCCGGGTCTGAATGGAATTAACATCCATTTTTGGTCATTGAGATTTTGGACGGCTGTCTGGGTTTGAATTCTCTGAAAGTTTGGAAATTGACTGTACGTTGTTTCAGGAAGTGAATGTAATATCAATACAAAATGAAATATTTAAAACTTGTGTTGGGAAATATGCTGGTAAAACAGAAATTGTCAAAAGCCACTCTTTTAGTAATCACGATTAAGGACTCAAAATCTTCTTAATCCAGTCAAATTTTAGTTCAGATGGTTTCAATTGGAAATGCTTTTTTAAACTGACAAGCAAGTTCATGTCATGGCCTTACTATCAAGATACATATTGTAACAAAGATAATCATCACCTTTCTCAAACTATCCAATCACGATTTAGAGTAGAGCTGCAAGGAATCTATTGTGAGGCAATTATGACATATTTATGTCACTAAAATTGGTAAAAATTACAAATATTGGGTAACGAATACACTAACGAATCAGCAGGTGATATATTATTAAATGCATGTAGTGAAACAACAACAAACATATTCTTTGACATGTTTGACCATGTCAATTTATCACAATGATGACTACATTAGTGTCAATTCAAGTATCTTTGACTACTATCCTGTCTGACTTGGATAAAATCCATTTTGCGTACCTTGCTTTGAATTCAGGTAAAAACACTCCTTCATGAATATTCTACTACCAGTGATAACGACTAACTAATTGAATTCATAAAGGGATATGGTTTAATAAATTTCATTGCATTTGAGAGGGAATCATAACAGCACAAATATAGAAACACATTTCTCTTGCCTGTACCATCACAGATGGTCCCACTTTAAGTGACTTAATCAAGGACATTACAACATGTGTAAGTCTCACAAGGAATCTTACTTACTTGCTATTAAAAAACATACACATAATTGCTCTGTCACTTTTACTCAGGTAATTCCCTGAGGGTCCAAACACATAATTAAAGTTGAAGCTAAGAAATGAATCCAAAATGCAAGTAATTTTTTAGTTACAAACTCGCACACTCTTTGTGCTTAATGGTACACTGGGGACATATTCTTCATGGTGCTCAATGCCACCAGCAGGTTTTGCACCCAAGCCAGCAGACTCTATGCTTGCAGTTGCATCATGCTGTCGAGAAGAGCATTTCATATTAAAGCCTTGCAATACATTGGCACTGGTCCACCTCCCAGCCAAACACAGTTTTTGAGGTATGCAATGGTAATATTCAATAAAACAGGAATCACTGCGTTTTGTTTCAGTGTTATGAGTTTCAGTTATGCAACAACAAATGCAAAAAATGTGTACCTATTAATATTATAATATTTATTCCAGG